TTTTGTGGTAGCAAAGAATTGGAAATTGAAGGAATGCCCAACAATTGTGGAATGGGTAAACAAGGTATGTAGTATATAAATGTGACGAAACACTATTGTGCTATAAGAAATGATGAAGAGTGGGGCAGCTAGGTGGTGCAATGGATAGAGCTCTGGCCTTGGAGTCGGGAGGTCCTGAGTTCAAATCCGGCCTCAGACACTTGACATTTTAGCTATGTGACCCTGGGCAAGTCACTTAACCTCGACTGCCTCACGGAAAAACAAAAAAACAAAACAAACGAAAAGAAACGAAATAAGTATAAATATAAAAAATATAAATAAAAAAATATAAACAAATAAAAATGGTGGGTGAGAGAAAATTTGGAACTGCAAATAAAATTGAAAGAAATTAAACAAGGTACTAATTTTTTTAAAAAGAAATTTCTTTTAAAAAAGGAAAGCTATAAGTAGTTAAGAGTACTTAATAGCTTGTACTTAAGATTTGCAACTATTTTCTTATTTGATTCTCACAACAACTCTGGAGGTAGGTGCTATTATTATCCCCATTCTACAGATGAAGATATTGAGGCAAAAAGAAGTTAAATGACTTGCCTAGCATCAAACAGCTAGTAAGTAGCTGAGGCTAGATTTGAACTCAAGTCTTTTTGACTCCAGGCCCAGTACTCTATCCACTGTAACACCCAACTATGTTTGGAAATTTCAATAAACTAGAATTCATTTGAATTCAGAAATACTTGTTAATTGTTGTTTTAGTACAGACTAAGAAAAAATGTAAAAGTCATTTTAAAAAAAAGATTTCACTTACCCTTTGCCATAATATGACTTATTGTAAACTTTCTCTTACTAATCATAGCTCTGCCAGAATAAATTACCACTTCATGACCTTTCTAACATTTTAAGACCTCTAACATTTGACCTTTCAGTTGCATGTCACCCTAGCCACTCTTCTCTGGACATGCTTCATTTAATTAGTGTTCCTCTAGATGTGGGACATCCAAAACTGAACATAACATTGTAGATGTGACCTGATCAGTGAAGGTTACAAGAAGACTATGCCTCTTTTGTTCTGGACACTGTATCCCTATTAAAGCAACCTAAGATTGCACCTGCTTTCCGGGAAGCAATGTCATGCCCTTGATTTATGTGGAACTTGCTATTCTCAAACCACCCCTACACAACAATCAGGTCTTCTCTCCATAAAGGACTTGTTCCAGCAGGTCCAACCCAATCAAACATCATCATCATCATCATGGCTAACATTTATATAGTGCTTACCATGTGCCAGGCACTGTGCTAAGTACTTTACAAATATTATCTCTACCCTGTGAATTGGGTGGTATTATATGTTATTTTACAGTTGAAGAAACTGAAGCAGAGTGACTTGCCCAGGGAGATGGATTTGAACTCAGGTCTTCCTGACTCTTATCTACTTGTGGCCACCTAGATCATACAGTTCTCCCCACTCTGTACTTGACCCTCCATTTGTGTCATTGAGTTTGGAACCTAGTTTGAAACCTTTAAACAGAAATATACATTTCATTCTCTTAAATTTCTTGCTGTGATCCAACTGTTCAGGTGTGAGGGATTGTCTGATGTTGGCTACGTGTCACGTGAGGGTTGTGGGAAGATGGGGCAGGGACAAGATATTAGGAAGTAACCGAAGCTTACGCTCCCGAGGCAGGGGGCTGTGCCATGTGGAGTTGTGGTGAACTGGGGTAGGAACAGGATACGGGGAAGTAGCCGGAGCATGTGCTCCTGAGGCAGGGGGCTGTGCCACTTGGGAGTGGGACGGCAGAGAACGAGCTCCCTTTGTCTAGTCCTCTCCCTTTGTGCAGCGCTAACCCCAGACGTCCCCTTCCTGTATCCAGGTGTAGCTTCCTTTGTCACGTCCTCTCCCTTGGTGCAGTGCTAACCCCAGACATCCCCTTCCGGTATCTGATCCTACAATCATTCACTGGTAGGCGGGCTGAGGAGGAGGGGCTAGGAAGGTATATAGGGGCGGTAGGGGTCGGAGCTCGCTCTCTCTTGCTCTTGCTCCTGCTCTTGCTTTCCTGCTTGGCCTTGCTGTGATGGCCTCTGAATAAAGTTCGAGTGCTTGCACCTCCCGATCAGCTCGTCTCTATGTTTATCTGGGTGGGCTCTGAAGACTGGTAAGTATGACCTTGGCAGCCTGCTCCGGTTAGGAGGAGAGTGCACGGCGCGACCGGCACATTCAGGAATGGCTAAACAAGTTGTGGTACAAAAATTTAACAAAATATGACTGGGTTGTACAAAAAGATGACTATGATGGAAGCAGAGAAGCATAAGGAGACTCCTATGAATTCATTTATGCAAAATGAAATAAGTAGAATCTAGCAAACAATGTACACAATGATTACAGCAATGTAAATGGAAAAAAATAACCATAAAACAATAAATATGGAATGCTTCCAAATTTATAACAATTAACCTTGATCCCAGAACATGGATATAAAAAGGGACATTCCCCAAGCTTCTTTGCAGAGGTGGGTGACTATTGGTGTAGGAAACTACATATAATGGTAGACTTTTACAATATGGTGTTTTTGCTGAACTGTTTGTTCCCTCTTTTTTATTCTTCCATTTGTAGGGTGACTCTGGGAAGAAGAGGGATGCATTGGAATATACAGATAATATGAAATGAAAAAACTATCAATACAATTTATTTTTTTAAACTGTATTCTGTTAGTTTCAATCCAGGGGTGTTAACCTCTTGTGGCCTAAGCAAAGGGAAACATGGAGTAGTGTGATTTTGTGGAAAAGAGACATGAATGTGGGGCCAAAGGAAGTGTGTTCCAATCCTACCTATGAGAGTCATTTAAGTTCTATGGCCCCTCATTGGAAAAAGAGAGGAATGGATTAGAGGACCTGACATCTAAGGTATTTTTCAGCTCTAAATCAATTTAACTTTTGCTTGTAGTTAGCTGTGAGGGACAGCCAAATATTCTTTTGGTCCCTAGTCCTACAGAGAAGTTCTTGCCCAGTTCTCTTTTTGCTTCTTTTTTGAGAAGTCAAAAGACAATTTCTGTAACCAGAGATCTAAATCAAATTGGGGACCCTCGTTCTACAGGACTAGAAGCCCTCTTGGAAACTTTAAGTGCTAGGAAACATATGTGATGCCTAACCAGAAGGGTTTGGTATTTCTTGGACATTCTGAGCAGATACTATATCTGAAGACACATATCCTCTTTCCAAAATACACTTAGTGAATCACACCTATACATGAGCAGTGATAACAGTAAGTCTGGCAAGAGTTAAGCTTTATAGGTAATTTGTAATATAATATTAATAATAATATTACATCATTGTAGTGTTTTAAGATCTACAAAACTCTTCCATTACCCTTCCCCCTCCCAACTCTCTGAAGCAGGTCATTCATGATTATCACCTTTTAAAGATGAAAAAACTGAGCTTCAAAAGAGATGAACTGTCCATGATCACACAGCAAGTAAATTACCAGAGTCAATGTTTTATCCACTAAAATAAATTTAAGGTAAAAAGTTTTGACAGGTCACTATACTAATATCTCTAAATATCATGTTTAAATTTGTTCTAACTGCTTATTTTCCACAGTGCATGGGAAATGCCAGAACAGTACCAAAAACATAATCACTTCTACCATAAAATTAGTGGATTTTCCTAAACAGTAGCAGGAATAATAAAAACCAGTAAAAACTCGAAATGGTTTGTTGAACAAAGCTCAATGTTATCTCAGGGCTTTGGGATCCAGGGCTTCCTTCAAATCTTAACTAATACACCACCTTCTGCAGGTGGCCTTTCCCCTTCTCCTGCTGCTAATATTCCCCCCACCCCCCACCCCCGGGACCCCATGGAAAGTGGTGGACTCCAAATATATCTTGTATGAACATATAGTTACTTACATGTTGTGTCTGCCCCATTAGAATGTGAATTCCTTGAGAGCCAGGGGGACTTTCCTTTTCTTTGTAACTCCAGAGTTTAACACAGTGCGTGACACACAGTTAGCACTTTAATAAATGCTTGTTGACCAACTGCTCTATCATTTAGTAATGTTTCAATATTTGGATTTTTTTTTTAATCATGCTGCCCAGAACTGCTGTCCATCCATTGACAATCTCTAGTCATTTTGAGTAAGTAGTTTACGTAAGGGGAAAAATTTTCTCACTGGGGCAGAGATAAACTTACAAATTAAGAACGAAATAAGATACTACATTTCTTGTAACTATTTTTGGCTAGCAAGATTTTAAAATGTTAGGTGGCTACCCAGGAACCTCCCACAACTTTTCTGTCAATATGGAGATTTTGTATTGGGGAAAGTGCTCCTCTGAAACCAAAACACGCTTTTGTGGACAAGTTGGCCACCTCTGATCATTCTAGCCAACCTCCTCATGGTAGAAAAAGCACTTTAAACTTAAAAGCTCTATATAAATGAGGATTTTCAGGATAGGGTAAACAGGTCCAGAATTAGTCACTTGTCTGACTGAGATTACACTTAGGTATAAATGTGAGAGCTAAGACCAGAGAATTTAGTTCTTCCGATTCCCAATTCAATTTCCTTTTCAATTACTCCATGCTGCCTGCCTCCTAGCTGCAAGCTGGAAATGGATGTTTTCATTCAACTAAGTTTTTCGGCCAATGAGAACCCTGAGAAGGGAGGAACAGCTCAGTTACAAGATTGATCCCAAACTTCCCGACGCCTGGAGGGTTCAGCCAGTAGAGAGTCCAGAAAGATTCCCTGCTCCCTTCTTAAATTCACGAGAGGCAAGCACAGAGTTGGAGGAGCTACAGTTTCCCTGGAGACTCCTCCGTCCCTGACTCAAGCAATGCCCTCGGCGGGGGTCTCACCCTTCCCTGTGTCTCCTCCCCGGCCTGGGAACTAGCTGGTGCGGGAGGAGGGGAGGTGCCCATTCTCCCAAGTCTGGTCTGGGGAATACCCCAAGACGCTCATTCTAAATGTTGCAGTGCAGCCCAGGCCCCCGTTCTCCCCTGTCCCCTCTGCCTACCGTCTCTGTGGCTGTCCCGGCGGCTCGCCGAACTAGTGTCACTCATGGCCGCGCGACTGGAAAGAGGAGATGGAGGAGAAAAGAGAAAAAGGAGGAAAAGTAGGAGACAACTAGGGCTGTGGCCCGGCCCAGCCTCCCAGCCGCTGGGATTCCAGGTTCCGGCCACTGACGTCACAGAGGCAGTGGGAGGGCACTGGATCTGGGCATTCAGAGGAGTGCCTGCACTTCAGCACCGACTTTTGGCGGGCTCTCAGCTTAGGGAGCAGGAGTCCCAAACTTCGATTCCAGAAGACATCTAGGTGTACGGAGTCAATGCCATGCGTCCGGACGACCGAAGCATACGAGATCTCGGGGTTGTTGGGCCAAGTTAGCAGGAGGAGAGGCGAGGAGTGAGAGGCATGGGACCTTAAAGAGTAGGGACTTGTCATGGGAGAGAGAGGTAACATTAAGGATGGGAAGTAGGAGAGCTCGGTAGGAAAAATATTAGAAACCCTGTAGTATGTTAACCAATCAACAAGCATTAAGGGACTACTAGTCACTCAATAAAAGGAAATTACCCTTCCCAGGAGTATCTCTCCTCTCCTCAAGCATTTGGGGAGATGATGTGATTGAGCCTTGTAGATTTACTAAGGGGGAGGAGAGGGGAAGAGAGAGAGAAAAACGTGTCCCAGAATGAGGATCGTGCCTAATTGGGGGATCCCTAGGAATTGTGTGGGCCATTTTACCCAGTGTCTGGAGTCAGCACCTACAGAACACCATAGGCTATAGTGATAGGTGATTGAGTATTGATGTATTTTGGGACCTCAGGGAGAACTAGATTGGGGATGGGGTTGGAGAGAAAAGAAGACGGTACAGAGATAAAAAAAAAAAACGGTACCTTTCCAGAGTTGCTTTGAGAAACCCTTTCTGGGACAAAAAAAAAAAAAAACCCATCAGCCCAGGAATTAAATAGGTTCTAGTTCTAGCTGTACCTCCAACTTACCTTAGACAAGTCCCTTTACTTCTTCCGTAGCTGGGTTTGTAAGGAGCAGCTAAATAGTGCAATGGATAGAGTGCTAGGCCTGGAGTCAAGAAGACTCATCTTAATTGAATCTGGCTTCAGACACTTAGTAACTGTGTCACCCTGGGCAAGTGACTTAACCCTGTTTGCCTCAGTTTCCTCATTTGTAAAATGAGCTGGAGTAGGAAATGGAAAATCACTCCAGAATCTTTGCCAAGAAAACCCCGAATGGGGTCATGAAGAGTCTAATGTGACTGAAATGATTGAACAAAAATAATTCTTCCCCACCCATATTTTCATGTCAATAGCAGAGAGATTTAAAAGTGGAATTGCAGGTTGACTTACTCAATGTACATACCACAAGGCTTTTTTTGGGAGGGGGGAGACTTGCATTTGTACTCCTAGCACTTGGCACAGTGCCTTGCATATAGTAAGCACTTGATAAATGCTTGTCAATTGAATGACTTCATTTTGGGGCAAGAGACAACTTACTTAGAAAAAAATTGTGCAATTTAAGGAATCTCCTGAAAACACACCCATAATAGAATAGCAGAGTGGAAAGAATACTGGACTGGGTCATCAAACGTGGTCCTTAGTTCTATCTCTGCCACTAACTTAGTGTGACCTTGGGCCAGGTCCCTTAACCACTCTGAGCTTCAGTTTCCTTATCTGTAAAGTGGGGCTTCCACTTTGCCTTGGCAGCAGCAACAGCATGTCCCATCAGAAGATCTCTGCCTCCAGGCATGGACACATGGGCTTCCTGCCTCCAGAGCAAAGCAGCAGTCACTAGGGGAAGGTGAAGAGCAACTTCAAATATGACCCAACTAAATCCATCTGCCCCCACAGGCATGGACCCCATATTATTTGGGAAGGTAAGCAGGCATGGCTCCAAAGTCCAGAGTGAACAAAAAGGAAGTGGATGAGGTGATGAACATTATGGAACTGTCCCCCATAGTCACATCATGGTGGGCATCATAGGCTGGCTAGTAACAGTGGGAAAGAAGGGTGAATATGAATACTGTGAGTATGCTGGTTTTCCCTTTTTTTTCTTTTCTCATTTGTCACCTGGAACTAATTATTTTGCCAGTCTTTGAATGCTCAGTTAGCTATAGGACTGTTCAAAAAGGACAGTCATCTCACAAGCCTTGCTGACCAGCTGTATTATGAATCCCAGAAGTTTCACCTAACAAAGTATATAGAAATAGAGCTTTCATCTCCCCCAGAACCGTTTCAAAGTCCCTTTAAGAACTGCTTACTTGATTGGCCTGGTATCTGACAGTTTGAGTTTCCTGTTGATTTATTTGAGCTCACCCTACCCATTTAGCACGTTTTCCTAAACAAAGTCCTTGCAAATTGTATTAAATTTTTTTTAATCCTACATTGACTTTACTCACTGTAGGGCAAAAGTTTCAGTATCTTTTCAGCACTGAAAAGTTTTCTGGAAGAATACTTTCAACTTCTTTTTGTGTATTGTACTGTCTTCCTCCATTAGATTGTGAGCTCCTTGAGAGTAAGGAATGTCTTTTCTTACTTGTATAACTAGCACTTAGTACAGTTAATGGCAAATGGTAATAACTTATCATAGCATAGCCTCAAACTGCAATCTGGAAACTATTTATTAAGCCATATAACTATATAACAAAATATGAATGCAAGCCAAAAAGACTTGTCTCTGCTCTCAAGAATCTTATAGGGGAAGAGGAAGAGGAGGGGTGCATTGGAGCACCTGTGAAATATCAACAAGACATTCCTAACAAAAAAAACAACATAGAATTACAGAATTTCAAAGATGTGAGCAATCTTATTGTCCATCTACTCTGGCCCATGCCAAAAAAAAATCTCTACTGCAATTCAGTTGACAGGCTATCTCCTCCAGAGAAGGAGAATCCATCAGCTTTAGAAACTATTCCGGCCACTTTTGTATAGCTCTTATCATCAGGAAGTTTATTTGTTTTTTAAGTTTAATCCTGCATTTATCTCTTGGCAACTTCCACTTATTGCTCCAAGTTCTGGCCTCTTGGAGCTAAACCAAATCTGATCTCTCCTATCTCTCTCTCTCTCTCTCTCTCTCTCTCTCTCTCACACACACACACACACACACACACACACACCCTATATCTATGTATGTACATTTATATATGTATGGGTATGTATGTATGGGTATATATATATATATGTACCTATGTATGTATATGTGGTATACATATACATAGAGATAGAGACAACATATTTCTTCATCTATAAATAGATATATAATAGGAGCAGTTAGGTGACTCTGTGGATAAAGTGCCAGGCCTGGAATCAGGAGTTCAAATCTGGCCTCCAACACTTACTAGCTGTGTGACCCTGGGCAAGTCACTTAACCTCTCTTTTCCTCAGTTTCCTCACATGTAAAATGAGGATAATAATAGCACCTACTTTCCAAGGTGTTTGTGAAAATCAAATGAGACAATAATTGTAAAGCACTTATCGGCATATAGTAAGGATTACATAAATGCCAGTTACTATTATTATTATTTTCATGTATTCTCTTGTACCAAACTTATGATTTTTGTTCTTCAAGCAAAGATGTGTTGTGGATTGGACACTTTTTCAAGTATGGAATGGACTAGATGGACTGGTGGCTTGGGACTAAGAAGATCTAGATGAATTTTAACACTAGCTCTATCATTATTGGCTAATAACCATGGGCAAGTCACTTAATGACTGGTCCTCAGTTTACTCCTATGTAAAATGATGAGGTTGGACTCAATAGTCTTTAGGGCTCTTAATTCTATAATTCTATAAATCTACAAATGAGTTTTTTAAACAAGTATTAAGTGCCTACTCCCTCCAAGCATGGTTCTAAATGCTGTGAGAAGTGTGTGCAAAGTTCTAGAGCAGTTCTAGTTCTAGTGCAAAGAGAAGAGGAGGAAAAATGAAGTCATTTACCTCAAAGAGTTTCATTCCAGTGGGGGAGGATGATAACAATAATAACATGTACATATATAAATAAGTATGAAATAATAATAATAAGTGAGAATAATAAGTATGTTTATAATAGTTAGATGTTTTAATAATTAGTTTGATAAAATTCTTTTAATAAAAATAACTAGTATAATTTTAAGCTATAGTTTAAAATACCACTAAGACTTTTGGGACAACCTGTATAGGCTTTATGTTTGCAAAGTGCTTTTTACAGGTCAAATCATTTACAGAATAATGGGGGAAAGAATATAGGTTTAATAAGAAGAGTGGTTGCAAATAGTATGGGTTCAAAAAGGTGAGTTGGAAGGGTAGGGTAGAGTGGGATAAGGACATAGAAGAGAAAGGACTGATATGGAGGAATATGAGGGATTGGAGCAGAGCCTATGAATCACTGAGATTGTAAGTAGGGTAGCATAGGGAATGAGCATGTTTTTCATAAGAGCAAAGGTAATGCTGATTTGATAATTAATCCTTGAGAAAGAGTGTGTGGGACAGAGAACACTACTCAAATTCAAAACAAAGACTTAGATACCTTGAAAGCAGAAATGCTTTCTCATGAGAAAGGGTACCGCCCCTGGTTGCCCTAATGTCTCCGGCCAGCGAATACAAGTACAAATTGGTTACAGAAAGCAAGGCTTATTTATACCCTAACTCGAGTTCCTCCTCCCTAATCCCCTTTCCCTTATCCCATTGACTGGGCTTCAGGGGGCACAATATATTCGTAAATCTCCCCTAGCAACAGAGAACAAAGGCACACAAGTTAGCAAGTTTTCCCGGAGACAAGAAAAGGTGGAAGTCTTGCAAGGATAAACAGTTTAGGTTGGGGGTAGGGCTATTCTTTCTGCTACATGCTTAAAAACAGGGTCTGGGGTGAGGGATTTGACAAGGTCAGAAGGAAGTATTTCAACAGTACAATTAAATTCCTTGAGAAAGCCATCCAGAGCAGGTGCCTCCAATTTCTCTCCTCCCTCTCTCTTCTTAACCTCCTACTATCTGGCTTCTGACCTTATCATTTAACTGAGACAACTCTCTCCAAATGACCAGTGATCTCCTAATTGCTGCCCTTTGTGAGAACTATTAACAAGAACTATTAACCCTTTGAGGAGACTTCACTTCTGAGAGATCATCTCTCACAGAGAGGCAGATCAGTTATGCCAGCAGTTGCAGAGCAGATGACCAGTC